ACAGCTTGCTTCACTGTCAGCCTGCATGATTCAGGACAGAACACACCTAGCCCAATTCCCAAACAGTTATTTCCAGAAAGAAAGAACAGGATGCCTGAGTCGTGATGCTACAAGCCTGGGGTGGGGAGGTTCCATTTCAAATTCAGTGTTTTTTTTAATAACTGGATAATAAAGTTCAGTTGTTAAACAGATGAGGCAGATTAACCTTATAGGTCCTGGGTTACAAGGATCATAATATAAGACACTCAAATTACAGCTGATGGAGATGAATCATTTATTAATCTGCGGGTGCAGGTTGCCACAGCTCAGTTTGCAATAAGACCTATTTTTAAGGATACTGAGCCTTGAGATTACCTACATTCCTAAAACAGATTCCTGCTCTGAGTCTATTATCTAAAGGAAAGAATGTTTACAAAACAATTCAAAACATTGCTTTAAACCTCCTCCCCAGGGCCGGGTGCCTTGGCCTCTGGCAGTAATCCCAGCACTTTTGGAGGCCGAGGTGGGTGGATCACTTAAGGCCAAGAGTTCAAAATCAGCCTGGCCTACATAGTGTAAACCCATCTCTACTAAAAATACAAAAATTAGCCAGGCATGGTGGTGCGTACCAGTAATCCCAGCTTTTCAGGAGGCTGAGGCAGGAGAATCACTTGAACCCAGGAGGCAGAGGTTGCAGAAAGCCGAGATCGTGCCACTGCATTCTAGTCTGAGAGACAGAGTGAGACTCCGCCTCAAAAAAACAAAACAAAACAAAAACCTCACCCCCATGACGTGCCAACTCTTTGTCCCATAATTTCTCCCTATTCAGGAAAAAACAGTCTTGAACTAAGAATAATGCAGTTGGGAAAACCATTTTTCTTAATTGCTTTATGGCGTGGGAGAAACAAGTTAACCTCTCCAAACTGGTTTCCTCATTTTTATTTTATTTATTTGTTTGTTTATTTTTCTTGCCCAGGCTGGAGTACAGTGGCATGATATTGGCTCACTGCAATCTCCAGCTCCCAGGTTCAAGCAATTCTCCTGCCTCAGCCTCCGGAGTGCCTCAGCCTCTGGAGGCTGAGCCACCACACCTAGCTAATTTTTGTATATTTAGTAAAGATAAGGTTTCGACATGTGGGTCAGGTTGGTCTTGAACTCCTGACCTCAAGAGATCTGCCCTCCTGGGCCTCCCAAAGTGCTGGGGTTACAGGTGTGAGCCACCACACCCGGCAAGTTTCCTCGTTTTTAAAATAAGGCTCATAACAGACCCTTCTCCAAAGGGTTGCTGTGAGGCTTAAGTGAAGTTATATAAATAAAGGCCTCAGCATAATTTCTGGTACCTAGTAAGTGCTCAGTGAAAAAGAAAGTATCAGGCCAGGCACAGTGTCTCACACCTGTAATCCCAGGACTTTGGGAGGCTGAGACAGACAGATCACTTGAGGTCAGGAGTTCGAGACCAGCCTGGCCAACATGGCAAAACCCCATCTCTACTAAAAATAAAAAATTAACTGGGTTCGGTGGCATGCGCCTGTAATCCCAGCTACTTGGGAGGCTGAGGTAGGAGAATTGCTTGAACCCAGGAGGTGGAGGTTGCAGTGAATTGAGATCATGCCCCTCGCACTCCAGCCTGGGAGACAGAGCAAGACTCCATCCCAAAACATACAAACAAAATTAGCCAGGCATGGTGGCGTGTGCCTGTGATCCCAGGTACTCAGGAGGCTGAGGTAGGAGAATCACTTGAACCTGGGGGAGGTGGGTGGAGGTTGCAGTGAGCCAAGATCATGCCACTGCACTCCAGCCTTGGTGACAGAGCAAGTCTCCGTTAAAAAAAAAAAAAAAAGCCAAGAAAGAAAAAGAAAGTATTATCATTTATGCTTATTATTATAAATTATATCATCACCTTTCCCATCAGACAAAGTTTTTCTTTTGAGAGGAAATGCAGAAAACAATTATTCCAATGATTAAGAAATCAAAACAGAAAGAGGGGAAGGGAGGGAGGGAGGAGGGAGAAAAAGAATTACTGACTCACTGATTGATTGCAATGGGTAAAATTAGCAGAAATCTCCCCATCATAAAATAATGACTTCAAATATACTCCAGACCATTAAGACAGAGATCTCAGAAGGGAATGAAGTAAGGAACTTGGAGGAACAGCAGGGCAGAAAATGAATCATTTCTGAACACAGGGAAGTATGAGTGGACTGCCTAACTGCCAGCATGGAAAGCAGAGGTTTCTAGAAGACCCTGGAGAGGGCTGATCCACTGCAATGACTGAAAAACTCAGATACAGTTAACACTATAGCAAGAACCACAGAAAGCCTCCATACAAGAATCACTGTAAGGATATAATAAAAGAAGTTAACACTCACTCTGGCAGGTTTTTACCAAAATGATGAAACCTAAGACTAGAACCCAACATTTCCATTCTTTTTTTTTTTTTGAGAGGGAATCTCGCTCTGTCCCAGGCTGGAGTGCAGTGGCGCGATCTCGGCTCACGGCAACCTCCACCACCTAGATTCAAGTGATTCTCCTGCCTCAGCCTTCCAAGTAGCTGGAATTACAGGCTTGCGCCACCACACTCGGCTAATTTTTTTTGTATTTTTAGTAGAGACAGTATTTCACCATGTTGGCCAGGCTGGTCTCAAACACCTGACCTCATCATCTGGCCACCTCAGACTTCCAAAGTGCTGGGATTACAGGTGTAAGCCAATGCACCTGGACCAAACATTTCCATTCTAAGCAGTTCATTGAAATGATCGAATTGTCATGCCAGCCAGGAACTTTCTATCATTTCCCCTCCTCCCATAGAAGAGGGCTTGTAACATCTTCCTGTTTCCTGAAGTGGTGCTGGTCTCCCCTGTTACCGGGCTGGACCTGCTGCAAAATTAGCCGGGCTTGGTGGTGCGTGCCTGTAATCCCAGATAGTCGGGAGGCTGAAGCAGAAGAATCACTTTAACCCGGAAGGCAGAGGTTGTGATGAGCCAAGGTCACGCCATTACACCCAGGCCTGAACAGCAAGAGCAAAACTCAGTCTCAAAAAATAAAAAATTAAAAAAAATAAAAAATAAAAGTTACTGCCTAATTCGATGCTTGATCCTGAGAGCCACTCAAAACAGATGACACTAGCTATGATCACGGTCATGCATTATATTTTACAAAGCCCTTTGTCACGAATTCCTTCCATTTCTTTTCACGTGGATATAGGCTGGGTGCCTACGCTGCAGAAGCCCATCGCTGGGTCCTGGGAGGGCCTGACTTCTGACCCAAGGGATTCACAGTGGAGGGCTGTCCCTCCAAGCAGCAGAGGAGGGGTAGATGAGTTAGCAAGCCACTGTAGTCTCTCCCTTCCTACTCAATCCTCTTCCTTTGGCAGCAGAGAGGCCAGACCTCAGGCTTTGACCTGAAGGGCCAGATTTTTCTGAACACAAAGATCTAATCACCACCATCCCAAGACAGGGTGGGCGGGTGCCATTGGTCTGTATGTACTCTGCTGTGGCCTTTGAACATTATAAAGGAGGCTGCTGGAGCAATTGTCAGCCTTAAGCAGCCAGGCAGCTGGCTCTGTGCCCTGATAGTTATTCACCAAGTCAGCCACTGGTTTTGGTGCCCCTGCCTGGAGTCGCCACATCTTTGCCCAGACAGGATGACGGTCATGGACCTTTAGGAAATGGGCCTTTCTGGCCAGGTGGAATCAAGAGTAGGACCCACCAGCATGGCCCCAGCAGGTGCTCTTGAAGGCTAAGAAAGCATCTTACTACTTGCAAATGCATCTCCAAAGTTGGCCAGCAGTTTCAAAATTGTAACAGCCATTGCGGAAAATGTCTATCTGGCTTCTTCCCTCAGCAAGATGTTACTTGCTTCATCTTCTCGGGGTCCCTCCCAAGCACACAATCTAAATCCCACTCCTCTAGAATCCAGCTCTCAACAGTCAATCGAAATGATAACTCACCTGCTATATTAGAAGGGTTAATACAGTTTGTCTTTCTTAGGATATTCTACACCAAGTTTGTCCAACCCGCAGCCTGCAGGCTGCACGCAGCCCAGGAAAGTTTTGAATGTGGATTCATAAACTTTCTTAAAACTTGAGATTTGAGTTTTTTTTTTTTTTAGCTCATCAGCTATCATTAGCATTAATGTATTTTAGGTGCGGCCCGAGACAATTCTTCCAATGTGGCCCCGGGAATCCAAAAGATTGAACACCCCTGTTCTATATAAAACCAGAAATGAACATGTATTAGCGTTAACTTTAAATTTTTTAAAAAAGCAAAAAACATTGCAAGGCTGTGGTGGGTGGTCCCAAATCTCAGAGGATACTTGTTGCAGTGGGGGAACTTCTAACTCACAGATCAAGGGGTACAGGTGGGGCTGCTTACCAGTTAGCCTGATATCCCAGTTAAAGGAAACGCCAGAGCTGAGTGTGGTGGTGCATGCCTATAATCCCAAATACTCAAGAGGCTGAGGCAGGATATCACTTGAGCCCAGGAGTTAGAAGCTGCAGTGAGCTATGATCACCCCACAGCATGCTGGTCTAGGCGACAGAGCAAGACTTCGTCTCTTAAAAAACACACATGCGGTTGGGCGCAGTGACTCACACCTGTAATCCCAGCACTTTGGGAGGCCAAGGCGGCCAGATCATGAGATCAGGAGTTCCAGACCAGCCTGGCCAACATGGTAAAACCTTGTCTCTACTAAAAATACAAAAACAGCCAGGCATGGTGGCGCACGCCTGTAGTCCCAGCTACAAGGGAGACAGAGGCAGGAGAATCGCTTTAATCCAAAAGGCAGAGGTTGCGGTGAGCAGAGATCCGCCATTGCACTCCAGCCTGGGCAACAGAGGGAGACTCCATCTCAAAAAAAAAAAAAAACCACAAACACACACACACACACACAGAAAAAAACAAATAGCCAACTTGTTTGGGGATTTTCCCACAAGATGATTTCCACACCCGTCATTTTCTAATTTACATTCAAATAATCAGGAGTTATAGGCCAGCTTGTGGGGCTGTTTAGAAGTTACATACCTCAGAGCAAACCTGCATGTCTGGTCTGTGGCACCCATGCCACTTGTCATGTGGGCAAGTCACCGTGGTGCCAGCAGAACCACTGGATTTCCTCAAGTGGCCAACCAGGCTGGCTCCACTTGGCATCTTCTCTTTTACCAGAGAGGAAGCCAGGACAGCAGACAGGCATGACAGCAAGAGCACTTCATAAGGAGTCCAGAGGCCCGAGTTCTAGTCTGGTTCTACTGGTCACTCACTGGCTTTGTGACCCCAGGCAAGTCACCTAACCTCTCTGGTCTTGGTTTCTTTGGCTGTAAAACAAGATAAATCTGTGATTCTAGGCTGCCACTGTCCCCCTGCCCACAAAAATGGAACAAGTCTTGAACCAAAAGTGATGGAAGACCACTCTTTCTGGATTCACTCTAGGACTATTTAATGAGTGCCAGATACCTAGAAGGCCAGATTCCACAGGCATCCATTTAATTAAGGTAAGAGGCATGAAGAAAATCAACCCCAGAATTTGGATTTCAAGATCTGAGAGGTGAAAATCATGACCTTTAGCTCTTCCATGTCTAGTTTCTCCCTAAGCCAGAGCAAATAGGAGTCATCACATGCACCACTCTAACTGACCTGGAGTGGCTGTGTTAAGAAAGATGCCGAGGCTGTGTCTAGGCTCAAAGTGAAACCGCATCACGACTGATTAATGACGTTTGCCATAACTACGGGCTATAAAGGGGGTTATGTAGTTTAATTTAGTCATGTATTTTATTTTATTTTATTTATTTATTTTGTTGCCCAGGCTGGAGTGCAGTGGCGCAATCTCAGCTCACTGAGATTGAATCCCAGTTTCAAGGGATTCTTCTGCCTCAGCCTTCCCAGCGGTTGGGACTACAGGTGCACGCTACCATGCCCGACTAATTTTTGTATTTTTAGTAGAGACGGGTTTTCTCCATGTTGGCCAGGCTGGTTTCCAACTCCCGATCTCAGGTGATCCGCCTGCCTCAGCCTCCCAAAGTGTTGGGATTACAGGCATGAGCCATTGTGTCCACTCTAGTCATGCATTTTAATTTGCAAAGAGAGAGAAGGGCCCAGCATCTTCAACAAGAACCCAGGAGAATGAGAATGGAATGAAAAGCAGTCATTCAGCAAACAGCACTAGCACCAAGTGCTAGGCACTGAAATACCTCAAAGTCACAGAATCTGATAGGGTCCGTGGGAGTCTAAGAGGGTCAGGAGAGACTTTCTAGACAAAGTGACCCCTTAAGGGTATGTAGAACCCAGACAGGCAAGAGGAGGGAGGTGGACTAAAGAGCAGAGTGCTCCACCAGGCAGAGGGGCTGATGGGGGGAAGCTCTGGAGGCAAGAGTATGACAATCGTGCCATGTGTGGGGCTGCAAGCCATTCGCAAAGGCTTCAAGCTGGGGTGATAGGAAACCATAGAGGCTTCTAGGCAGGGAGTGTCAAGAACTAGATGACACTTAACTCTCCATGCCCCTGCCCTCCCATTGCTCATGCTTTAGAACAGCTGAAAAATTGACCTTCAAAATGAGAAAGCAGGCCTCCCAGAAGTCAGTCTTGCAAACTGATCGGTCAGGAGAGATCTGATTACTGGGTCAAGGTAGAGAGAGAAGATAAACACAGAGCTGGCCTCTAAGTGGATGTAGTAAACCTGGGGGAGATTCCGATTGGAGATAAGGAGGAAGGGCAGGCCCAAGATGTGATTGGTCTAAACCAGGCAGGCAGGAGGCTGGCTCATAGCCCACGCCCTCTGAAGCCAGCCCAGGCAATCCTGCCACAAACCACACCTAACAAAGGCTTAAGAGATGTGAGGCCGGGAGAGGTGACTTACGCCTGTAATCCCAGCACTATGGGAGGCCGAGGCGGGCAGATCACCTGAGGTTGGGAGTTCGAGACCAGCCTGACCCCATCTCTACAAAAATACAAAATCAGCTAGGCGTGATAGCACATGCCTGTAATCCCAGCTACTCGAGAGGCTGAGCCAGGAGAATGGCTTGAACCCAGGAGGCGGAGGTTTCGGAGATCACACCATTGCACTCCAGCCTGGGCAACAAGAGCAAAACTCCGTCTCAAAAAAAAAAGAGAAAAGAAATGTAGCAGTTTCACTTCTAAAAATGAGGAATAACCAAAGGAGTGCACAAAGAAGTGAATACAAGGATATTCACTGCAGCGTGGTCTGCCAGAGCCCGGCATAAGAAGTATGAATGTCCAACAGTAGGGGATTGGTTTAATAAATTATACCACATTGAAACAATAGAATCAGCCAAGTGCGATGGCTCACGCCTGTAATCCCAGCACTTTAGGAGGTTGGGGCGAATGGATCATTTGAGGTCAGGAGTTCAAGAACAGCCTGGCCTACATGGTGAAAATACATGAAATACATGTATTTTCACTTCTACTAAAATACAGAAGTTAGCTGGGCACAGAGTCTCATGCCTGTAATCCCAGCTACTTGGGAGGCCAAGGCATGAGGATCACTTGAACCCAGGAGGTAGAGGTTGATGTGAGCCGAGATCACGGCACTGCACTCCAGCCTGAGCAACATAAAAAGATCCCGGTCTCTAAAAAAATAAAAATTAAAAAATTAGCTGAGCATGGTGGCACATGCCTGTAGTCCTAGCTGCTCAGGAAGCTGAAGTGGGAGGATCCTTTGAGCTCAGGAGTTCACATCACTGCATCACCCCAGCCTGGGTGACACAGCAAGACAGAAAAAAAGAAAAGAAAGAAAGAAGGAGGAAGGGAAGAAAAAAGGAAGGAAGAAAAGAAAGAAGAGAAAAAGAAAGAGGAAGGAAAGAAGGAAGGAAGGGAGAGAGGGAGGGAGGGAAAGAAAAGGAGAGACAGAAGAGGACTCACATTAAAAGATGGTCATCCTAAGGCCGGGCGCAGTGGCTCACTTCTGTAATCCTAGCATTTGGGAGGCTGAGGTGGGTGGATCACCTGAGGTCAGGAGTTCAAGACCAGCCTGGCCATCATGGAGAAACCCTATCTTAAAAAAAAAAAAAAAAAAAAAAAGATGGTCATGCTATATTGTTAGGTAGAAAAAGCAGGTTATACTTTCTTTTTTTGAGACAACATCTCACTCTGCCAACCAGTAATGAGTGATAATTAGGCGTTATGTAGATTTGTTTTTTGAGACAAGGTCTTACTCTGTCACCCAGGCTGGAGTGCAGTGGCACAATCTCAGCTCACTGCAACCTGCACCTCCCAAGCTCAAGCAAGTAGCTGGGACTACAGGCGTGTACCACAACACCTGGCTAATTTTCTGTACTTTTGGTAGAGACAGGGTTTCACTATGTTACCCAGGCTGGTCTCAAACTCTTGACCTTAAGCAATCCGCCCGCCTCACCCTGCCAAAGTGCTGGGATTATAGACATGAGCCACCATACCAGCCCATACTTTTCTTCCCCAAAAAAAGATAGATGTAAATGAGTCTGGAAGAAAAATATTCTGAAATCCCAATAGAGATTCTTTCTTTAAAACTCCACCTCAAATGTTGACAGACAAGTGAACTAATCTACATAAAGTACTTAGCACATAGTAAGAGCTCAATGAATGAGAGGAAGGTTGTTATATATCATTTGTATTTGCTCAGTTTTCCTCTAATCGACAGATCTTCCTTGCAGAATTAAGTACTTTTTTAAAACACAAATTTGGCTGGGTGCGGTGGCTCACGCCTGTAATCCCAGCACTTTGGGAAGCCAAGGGGTACGGATCTTGAGGTCAAGAGATCAAGACCATCCTCGCCAACATGGTGAAACCCTGTCTCTACTAAAAATACAAACATTAGCTGAGCGTGGTGGCATGTACCTGTAGTCCCAGCTACTCGGGAGGCTAAGACAGGAGAATTGCCTGGACCCAGGAGGCAGAGGTTGCAGTAAGCCGAGATCGCGCCACTGCACTCCAGCCTGGCACCTGGCAACACAGCGAGACTCTGTCTCAAAACAGAAAACAAAAACAAAAACACAGCTTTCAGTTCTTTGCCATACTTATATCTAGAGCCACGGTTCTCAGAGGTGATTTTGCCTCCCTGGGGTTAGTTTAGGTTGTCACAACTTGGGGAGGGGGGTGCTACTGGCATCTGGTAGGTAGAGGCCAGGGATGCTGCTAAACATCTTACAACGCACAGGACAACCCCACTACCGCAAAGGATGGCCTGGCCCCAAATGCTGGCAATGCCATGGTGGAAAATCCCTGACTTGGAGGAAACTGCAACGCATTTCAGACTCCTACTGTCCATCACCCCAGATCAGCTCCATTCAAGAGACACACACACTACCCAGATCATCCAGGTGACGGGACGCTCCCAAGATCTAGAAAAAGCCCCTGCGGTCGGGCACAGTGGCTCACACCTGTAATCCCAGCACTTTGGGAGACTGAGGCGGGCGGATCATGAGGTCAGGAGTTCAAGACCAGCTTGGCTGATATGATGAAACCCTGTCTCTACTAAAAATACAAGAATTAGCTGTGCATGGTGGCACACGCCTGTAATCCCAGCTACTCAGGAGGCTGTGGCAGGAGAATAACTTGAACCCGGGAGGCAAAGGCTGCGGTCAGCCAAGATCATACCACTGTACTCCAGCCTGGGTGAAAGATTGAGACTGTCTCAAAAAAAGAAAAAGCCCCTGCATCAGAGCCAACAGCTGATCTCGATCAAATGTCTCAGAGAAAAGTCACTGTGGAAGAATCTTCCTAAAGTTTAAGTCTTAAACCCTCAGGAGAAATAGAAGAGAATAATGGTTCAAATGAATTATCACTTTTTTTTCTTTAGAGGCCTAAGAATTGGCCTCTTTGGTGAACAGTAAACAGCTCTGGTGGGCAGAGGGCCTTGTGGTGGTTAACCCTTTGTGGACCAACCCCACCGAGGCTTCTGTATAAATGGTACTTCTGTCAACAGATGTGACACCCCACAGCACAGGGACTGCAACACAGACAAGGGTCCTTTGAGATCAGGGAAAGGGAGGAGGAGATGCTTTTCAGCCCTGGCACCAGATGACTGCTGGCTCTAGCTTGCCACCTCCCTCTTTCCTCCAAAACCAGACCGATAATTGCATCAAATGATGGTACCCCCAAATGCAGAATGGATGTGCAACCTCACTGATAATAAGGGAAGAAAAAGCCACCCCGTTTAACCCAGGGTTTCCCCACCTTTGACACTGCTGACATTTGGGGTTGGATCATTCTTAGTTGTGGAGGGACTGTCCTATGCACTATAGGCTGTTGAGGAGCAGCTCCCTGGCCTCTACCCACAAGACACCCCACGCCCCCTCCCTCAACTTAGTTGTGACAAAAATGTCTCCAGGCATTCTCAGATGTCCTCTATTCTCAGTTGAGAACCACTGGCTTAAATGGATTCTGAATCCCTGTCCAGGGCAAGCTGGCTCTGACTTGAAACTAGTCCTGGTGCGGCCAGGTGCGGTGGCTCACCCCTGTAATCCCAACACTTTGAGAGGCCAAGGCGGGTGGATCACCTGAGGTCGGGAGTTCAAGACCATCCTGACCAACATGGAGAAACGCCATCTTTACTAAAAATACAAAATGTGGTGTCATGCGCCTGTAATCCCAGCTACTCTGGAGGCTGAGGCAGGAGACTCGCTTGAACCCAGGAAGTGGAGGTTGCGGTGAGCTGAGATCACAGCATTGTACTCCAGCCTGGGAAACAAGAGTCAAACTCCATCCCAAAAAAAAAAAGAAAGAAACTATTCCTGGAACGAAAGAGGAAACAAACAAGCAAAAAACAACAACAACGCTGTCACAAAATTAAACAACTTCTCAATGCTAGAGCCGGTTCGCTCCCAAGCCCCTGCCTGGAGAGCATTGCCTCCAGACTATGACACGATAGTAAGAAAGTTTTGTGCATTCAGCAGTACTGACAGAGCATCTGCTATGTGCCAGGCACTGTTCTGGGCACTGGGGACACAGAGTGGATGTCAAAGACCAAGCCTTTGCTCCCAGATCGCTTATCCAGGTCTGAGAATCATGCATGCCAGACAACTGCACTCCCTCAAACACTGATTAATCACTCTAGCAAGGAACCAAAACTGGATTCAGGAACTTATAACCATGACCCCCACAGCGAAGACCTGTTTGGTACTTAGGGCCTCAGTGCTTTACACACACCATGTCATCTACTCCTCACATCTGGCCTAGGAGATCAGCATCCCTGGGGACACCGAGGCTCAAGAGGTGTAGGAGGGGAACGATAGACTCCAGGTAACCACAACTCTCCCAGAGCTCAGGACACTGAGAACTGCCACCCCCAATAAGCTTTCATCGCCCACTAAGTCCATCTATCTTATGGTCTCCTGTTTGTGGGTTTCAGCTGGACTCTGCCCTGGGGGCTGGTACCTTCCTGCAAGGCCACCAAGTGAACCAGCAGGGTGAGACAGAGCCCACGTGGAGGAGGAAAACAGAGGCTAAGGTTGCACCCTTTACCCAGGACCCAAAAGGCAAAGGGCAGGGCAGTGGTACTGGCCTCTATTTCCCATTTTCCATCTGGGGCCTTGGCTGGGCTGGGCTGAGGGAGTAGGGGGAAAGGGTCTGAAAGTGGACTGTCTTCCCAATGCTCCCAGGAACTTCCGCATTACTTATAGGGGAGGGGCTTCCTCTTGAAGAGCCCAAACTGAGGAAGGAATTAGTGCATGTCTGATGTCACCTCACAAAACAGCTCCCCTGCTCCCCCAACTCTCACCCCTGTCCTAGGAGGAAAAACTTTAGGTGGTTTCCCTTAGAGAGAGCCCCAGGAGTTTTGCAACTCCAGCTTCAAAACCCCCTCCCCGTCCCGCTTCACCAGGCTTCCTACCCTTGTAGGGGGAGGCAGGGAATGATCTGGAATGGGGGAATTCTGAGGGAAGAAGGAAGGGTTCATTTGTCCCGTGAGAGAGAGAGGCTGGAAGCGTTTAAAGAGAAGACTTATGAGGGGGGATTCATTGTAAGGGAAGGGAGTTGAGAACCATCAGAAAGCGCCAGGGATGAAGGACTTTGGGGAAAAGGGGGGCAGGAGGCTTCGGGGGAGATGGTGGATTGGAGCACGCCTAGGGGAGACAGAAGTGTAAGGGGTGTTGTGGGGACGGATGACCGTGAGGCACTTGGGGAACATGGAGGAATGTAAGGTGTCCAGGGAGAGGGAGGATTTGGGGAGGAGAGGGAGGATGTGACATGTTCAGAGGGGAGAGGACTTGGAAGTGGCCCGGGAAAGGGAGAATTTAGGGTGTGTGGAAGGAAAGAGGATCTTGGGTGCCTGGGGAAACAGGATTTGGGGTGTCTAGGGCAGAGGTGGTTAGGGGATGCTCGCGGGAGGAAAGATTCGGGTGCACGTGGGGCTGCGGGCCACTTCCCCCCTTCATCCCGGCTCACCGAAGAAGGGCGGCAGGTGGGACACCGCCTCGAGGAAGGGCCCGGTCTCGATCTGCTTGTCCGCCGGTAGCGGCTTCAGCAGGTGTTCGGCCAGCAGCGCCATTTCGGGGTCGAGGCCCGCGGTGATGCCCCAGCCGGCGCCGCGGGCGTCCACGCCGCCCCCCGGGCCGCCGCCGTCAGCGCCGGGGCCGTCACAGCCTCCCGCTGCAGGCTCCGGGGACGCCAGCGTCACCACTTCCGCCGGCGCTGCGCCCCAGTAGCCGAGCGCTCAGCGCCGCCCGCCGGCCAAGCGCCTAAGCAGCCTGGCGCGCCGCCCCGCCCCTGCTTGCAAACGCCCAATCCGCGCCCTCCGCTGAGGTCTGCGCGCCACCATTGGCCGGGGGACGGGCCGGGGGCGGGGCGAAGAGGTGGTGCGCCGGCTCTCGGATCCCGAAGGGCCCAGGTGAGCCGCTCCCAGGTGAGTCTTTCCTAGGTGTGCCTCTAGCCACCCCCGGCTTGGCCCCCCGACCCGGACAGGCCGGCTTGGGCCAGGTCACAGCCCACAACCCGCCCGCCAGCTTAGGTTACAGCCCCAACCAGCCAACGCTCCCCAGGACCCCCGTTTCCCCAAAATTGTTCCCCAATAACCCCAAATGACCTGGGTGGACACTGCTCTCCCGTTGGTCACGGCTCTCTTTCGCTACAACCGACGGAGACGCTCAATTGCTTGATTTCTTCGTCTTCAGTGACCTTATACCTGTTGAACACGGCTGAAGTCACAGCCTAACTCAGCCACTGCCCTGCTGGACGACTCCTGCTTCCCGAAATCTGGGTCCAGTCTGCCCTCTGAAGAGGTGATATTTGAGCTGAGACTTGGAGGAGTAGCATAGTACCAGGTCAAAGACTTGGGGTGTGAGTCTGGCCAACATGGCAAAACCCCGTCTCTACTAAAAAGTACAAAAATTAGCCAGGCATGGTGACTGTAATCTCAGCTACTCAGGAGGCTAAGGCAGGGAGAATTGCTTGAACCAGGCCAAGGTTGTAGTGAGCTGAGACCACACCGTTGCACTCCAGCCCGGGCAGAGCAAGACTCTGTCCCCTCCTCCCCCCAAAAAAACTTGGGATTTGAGGCACATGAGCAAAAGCCTTAAGGTTACAAAGAGCTTGGTGTGGTGCTGGGAATGGGAGGGAGGTAAGGGGAGGAAATGGGAATGGGTAAGTGAGGGCAAGAGTGAGTAGGGTGATAGGAGTTGAGGTCAGGGAGGTGAGCAGAGGCTGGAGTATGTTGGGGCAGGAAGGGAGTGCTGAAGAGTTTGGATTTTATGTTAAAGGCAATGGGAAATCACTAATGCATTTCTGCTGAATCTCGTTGAATGTGATGTTGAATGTTTTCTTTCTTTCTTTTTTTTTTTTTTTTTTAGAGAGACAGGATCTCACTCTGTAACCAAGGCTGCAGTGGTGTGATCACAGCTCCCTGCAGCCTCAACCTTCTGGGCTCAAGCAATCCTCCCACCTCAGCCTCTCAAGTAACTGGGACTACAGGAACATGAATGCTAGCCTAATTTTTTTTTGTTTTGTGTAAAGATGGGGTCTTGCTATGTTGCCCAGCCTGGTCTTGAATTCCTGGGCTCAAGCAATCCTCCTACCTTGGCTTCTCAAAGTGCTAGAATTATAGGTGTGAACCACTGTGCCCAGCCTGAATGTTCTAATCTTTCAAGGGGCAGGTGAGAGAAGAGGTTGTTTCAAACCATGACCCAGGTAGAATCAGGAAGTGAGAAGGGCTGGGAGAGAAAAAGCTAACGTCAACTCTTGCTCATACCCAGACCCTGACATGCCCCATCAAGTCAGATCTCACACTGATAGGATCCTAAGCCATCAACTCGGCTTGTTCCCACCCCACCCAACCTCGCTACCTCGGGCATCCTTCGATACCATCTCCTTGAAGCCTCACTGGCCCGCCCAACACTCTGTCCCAGTGCCAGAACCCTACCCACCTGTCAGACGCCTCCATCAATTCCACACAGAGATTGTACCCTACTTGGGGACCTCTGGCATCAGACAACACCCTGATTTCTCAACCTGTTCCATTCCAGACAAACCATTCAGAAACTATGGCCGATTCAAGAAGCACCTTACTGTGGAACATCGGCTTGATGCACTGACATAGGTCATTGCTCTGAGATAATGGAGCATCTTGAAAGTTCATCCATCCATTCATCTACCCCTTCATCATTCCCACAAATATGATCAGTCCCTGGCCTAGGGTGGATCCTTGCCTTTGCATACCTTGTGACAGGGGCCAGGCTGGTAGCATAAATGGGTGCTGTGGGCTGGTCATGACATAGTGAGGAGTGGTGGGGACTCTGGAGAACTGGGGGCCACATAGCCCATTGAAAGGGCACTATTAGTTATGCATGGTGGCATGTACTTGTAGTCCCAGCTACTTGGAAGGCTGAAGTGGGAGGATCCCTTGATCCCAGGAGTTGGAGGCTGGAGTGAGCTATGATTGTGCCACTGCTCTCCAGCCTGGGTAACAAAATGAGAATCCATCTCTTAAAATTGAAAAAAAGAAAGAAAGAAAGAGAAGAGAGAGGAAGGAAAGAAGGGAGGTAAAGAGGGAGGGAAGGAGGGAGGGAGCTATCAGGCTCTTCATGTGACTACTCATCCCCCAGAGCTGCTAGTTTTTCCAGTTCCTGAAGGGAAACCAGAAACCTAGATCTGTAGGTAAAAATTGCTTGATTTTTACAATCTTTTTATTTTTATTTTATTTATTTATTTTTGAGATGGAGTTTCACTGTTGTTACCCAGACTGGAGTGCAATGGCACGATCTCGGCTCACCACAACCTCTGCCTTCTGGGTTCAAGCAGTTCTCCTGCCTCAGCCTTCCGAGTAGCTGGGACTACAGGCACGCACCACCATGCCCAGCTAATTTTTGTATTTTTAGTAGAGACGAGGTTTCACCTTGTTGATCAGGATGGTCTCGATCTCTTGACCTCATGATCCACCCGCCTCGGCCTCCCAAAGTGCTGGGATTATAGGCGTAAGCCACCACGCCTGGCCAGAATCTTTTTATTTTTTAGATGGAGTTTTGCTCTTGTCCAGGCTGGAGTGCAATGGCGCAATCTCGGCACACTGCAACCTCCACCTCTGGGATTATAGGCGCCTGCCACTATGCCCAGCTAACTTTTTGTATTTTTAGTAGAGACGGGATTTCTCCATGTTGGTCATGCTGGTTTCGAACTCCAGGCCCGTCCCCAGGACAGTTGCTTTGTAGAATATCCCTCATTGTGGGTTTATCCGATGTTTCTTCCTGATTAGATTCAAGTTGTACATCTTCAGACTAGAAGCAGCTGTAGATTTTGTGTGTCACAAACTATCACAGGAGTGATGCTCTGTCCTTCTCATTGTAACGTAACAGATGACACAGTGATTTTTACTTGTCCCATTATTGAAAATCTAATGTTTTGTTTGTTTGTTTTTTGAGACAGAGTCTCACTCTGTCACTAGGCTGCAATGCAGTGGCACGATCTTGGCTCACTGCAACCTGTGCCTCCCAGGTTCAAGCGGTTCTCCTGCCTCAGCCTCCTGAATAGTTGGAATTACAGGTGCACGTCACCACACCAGGCTAATTTTGGTATTTTTAGTAGAGATGGGGTTTCACCATGTTGGCCAGATTGGTCTCAATCTCCTGACCTCGTGATCTGCCCACCTCGCCTCCCAAAGTGCTGGATTACAGGCATGAGTCACCATACCCAGCCTTTTTTTTTTCTGAGACACTCTTGCCCTGTTGCCCAGGTTGGAGTGCAGTGGTACAACATTGCTCACTGTGGCCTTGAACTCCTGGGCTCAATAAATCCTGCCAGCTCAGCCTCCTGAGTAACTGGACTATGGGTATGCACCTGTTATTGCAGATCTTAACTTTGATCATTTGAATAAGGTGTCTTCACTCTTCCCCACTGTAAAGCTATTCTCTTCCTCTTTGAAATCAACAAACACTTTGTAGGGAGGCACTAGGTAAATATCCCATCACTCATAAAAACTTCCACTTATTTATTTACATCAGTGGGGACTTGCAATTCTGTGGGTTACAATCCATTTATGTATATGTGTGTATATATATATTTTAGACAGAGTCTCACTCTGTTGCCCAGGCTGGAGTGCAATGGTGTGATCTCAGCTCACTACAACCTCTATCTCCCAGATTCAAGCGATTTTCCTGCCTCAGCCTCCCAAGTAGCTGGGATTATAGGCATGTGCCACCATGCCCAGCTAATTTTTGTATTTTTAGTAGAGATGGGGTTTCACCATGTAGGTCAGGCTGGTCTTGAACTCCTGACCTCAGGTGATCTACTCACTTTGGCCTCCAAAAGTACTGGGATTACAGGCGTAAGCCATCGTGCCCAGCCTATTATTATTTATTTATTGGCTCAAATTGTCCAAGATTTGGCCAATGAAAGCCCCTCTAAGCTTTCTGTATGCTTCTGTCCTGTCCCCATCGTTCTTTAATCCTTCCTTACTCTCTAGCACGAGATATTCCAGGCTTATTCTCAAAACCAGCCATTTCTTCAAAAAGCCCCAGTTCTTTTTGGTGGACGATGGTACTTAGAAGCCAAGATCTAGATGTGCGTATTGTTATTGGGGTGTCCCTTCTTCTAGATCCACTCAGAGTTTTATATGCGCACATACATTCTTGTCTATGTTTATCTGTATTTGTTCCTATAGTCTTCTATCTATATTGAAATCCGTGGTTTTTCACCCTGATAGATCCAGTGCTAATGTAACTCCATGGGGTTAATTCTACACCTTTCTCCCTTTTTCTGTTTGTAGCTCCCTTTTCCTGCAGTGAGAAACCTGGCGTTCTCATTGTTTTTCCCTCATTTGATCAGTCCACCATAGGTAACAATTTCCTATCATTGCTGCCACTCCCTCCCCAGCAAGGATGCCCCTTATGCCCTGCTCAAGCCTCTGTAGCCCCTGCCAGTTTGCCTTTCCATGAAGATGCCCGTCTGACTTGCTGCACTCTGGCCACCCTCACCCCATGTAGACAACTTTCTTATTCCATTTGGGATCTGACACCCACCTTTGTTGTTTTTGTTGTTTAGAAACAGGATCTCGCTCTGTTGCTCAGGGTGGAATGCAGTGGCATGATCACAGCTCACTGCAGCCTCTACCATCTGGGCCCCAGCAATCCTCCTGCTTCAGACTCCCAAGTAGCTGGGACCACAGGCATGAATCGCCATGCCTGGTTAATTTTGAAATGTTTTGTGAAGACAGGGTCTCGCTATATTACCCAGGCTGGTCTCGAACTCCTGGCCTCAAGCAATCCTCCCACCTCAGCCTCCCAAGGCACTGGGATTACAGGCGTGAGCCACTGTACCCAGTCTGACACCCCTTTCTGAACTAGTGTGTACCCTCCCCACTGACCCCTATGACTGACACTTACCATGCTGGGACCCATCGATTGGCTTTGGATTGAA